GTGCGAGCCCCTGCGTGAGAGCTCGCGTGTGCGAGCCCCTGCGTGAGGCAGCAATTGAGAGAGTCTGTGTGTGGGAAAGGCTACAGAAGACCTCTGACGATTTAAAGTGAGATCCACAAGTTGGCCAAATCCTAACCATTTGTGGTGTCTCATATACACCTGGAATATTGGTTGATCAGCATGATGAAGAATTGAAGAATACTTTTGCTGGGCAAATTGGTAAAGGAAACAGATAACTAATGGCCAACAGTCTGCCTTGCACAGGAACATCGGTGATCCTACCAACTCCAAACACCATCAGCATGAAGGTATCCACCACTCAGACCCACCTCACTACTTGTGAATCCCTCTGAAGTCTGCAGCCTAATACAGAAACCCAAACTTACCAAACTGGCTCTGACTGGTGCCTGATTGCAGAGTAAATGCAGCCCATTTACTGAACAATACAGACCAGGCAGATTCTTGCATTATCACTGGCCCGTGCTCAATAAATGATCTCAGCCAGGGATATGATTACACCTGGTGCCCATGCACCTCGGCTGAGAGGTGGGGTGGGGGGGTGGGAATTGTTGATGTTTTTTTAAAGACATATCCAGAAGTGCTCTTACACACAACTGAACATTTATTATCTCCCCATCACCAAATCACCCATGGGGTTTTTCTTTCATCTACTATCCACAACCAGTAAATCACCGGAATTTCCCAACTGAATAATTTACTTACAAAACCTGTTCAGGGCAATGCAGACCGATCGAAGGTGAGGGAGAGGGAGGGGAGGGGGCTAAACGGAGTTGGAAGGCCAGTCGAAACACACTCCCCAACTCACTCTAAAGACATTGAGCGTACTGGTGGACACCATGTGCTCCCTCTCCAAGGACCACTGGTGTGAATTGTCTATTAATTGGGTGTTAATTAAATTCAGATAGTGCGTATAAAGTGGGGATTTACCAGCACTTGAAGGAAGGGTCTCCTACGGTGCAGTGGTACTCTCCCTATCTCACAGCAAGGAGGCCCAGGTTCAAATCCTACCTGCTCCAGAGGTGGGTGTCAACTCTGAACAGATTTCGTTAAGTGTGCCTATACTTGAAAGAGGTAGTGTTCCCACCTCTGAGTCAGGAGGCCTGGATTCAAGTCCCACCCGCTCCAGAGGAGCGTCATAACATCGCTGAAAAAGTTGGTCAGAAAGTACCCTATACCCGAAGGAACAGGCTGAAAGAGGTGCGTACAAAATGAAATGTGCAACTGCATACTAAAGCTTACAATGTTTGGTTCAGGACCAACGCCAGGATCAAATGCGGGTGACAACACAAAAAACATGCCTGTGTCTGAGTACACGCGTGTGTGTGTTTGCACACACGTATCAATGTGTGATCATGAGTAACACACTGAACATGCTTTCTCCTGACCTCAAAGCACCAGGCAGTCAGTGGATTTTCTATGTATTGGAAGATAAGGCTAAGTATGGTTGTGGATAGATTCTTGAAGCTGGGGTTGGAGTGCATAAGGAGAAGCAATAAAAGCACTCACCAGCTCGGAAAGATCTGGAGGCTGCATTTTCAGGGCCCTCACTTTGAGGTCTGGCCTACAAGTGACTCCAGGCCTACAAGTGACTCCAGACCCACAGCAAATTGGCTGACTGTCAACTGCCCTTTGTGCATTTAGGGGATGGGCAATAAATGCTGGCCTAGTTAGTGATGCCCGCAGACCAGGAGTGAATAATAATAATAAAAGGCGGCCCCTGAATATGCCCGAACTAAAAATTAGCCGCAGTTGCTGAAGGATCCCCTCTACAGGAAGGTCTGAGGCCCAAAACGAGGAGTGGGTAAAACAGGGAAGGTCTCCAGGTCTGCCACCCCCTGACCTCTCCCAGGAGAGCTGGTCCAGTCTCTGCCACTTCGGGGGCACACAGTCCCCCCCTCACTGTGTGGTGTAGTGGTAGTGTTCCCACTTCTGAGCCAAGAGGCCTGGATTTAAATCTTACCGGTTTCAGAGATGTGTCATAACGTCACTGAAAAGGTTGATCAGAAAGAACCCTATACCCAGAGGAACAGGCTATAAGGTTAGTTGTGTACGAACTGGATCATAACCAATGGCCTTAACAAGAGCAGGTAACTCCTCCGATTCCAAATCCAGGGAAGTGACCCAGGGAGGGGGAGGAGGCTGGAATGGCGCCACAATCTGTCAAAACAAAATCATGTACCCGTCCCCCTCGCTTCGGCCCGTATTCAGAGGGTGGGGGTAACATTCAGGTCACAGACACAAACACCTTTGTACAGACTTTGAGGCAGACATGCGCACATATGCACACGCACGCACACACAAACAGGCATGCACTCAGTCAAACACGCCAACACACTTACTGAGGTGCTTTCGCACTCTCGTTTGCCTCCCATCCAACTACGAGCAGAACTGGCCTGAGAATTCGCTGTCCAACAGCTAATCTTCGCTGGTTCTCGGTTAATCCCTTCCACACTATTGAATCGAAACCCCCAAAGGGAGTTTCAGCTCCTCCGCCACAAAGAAAAACAGCAGGCATCCTAATCAGCACAGCCAGCTGTGACCACAACATTCCAACTGCTGGCTTTCTCAGAATTTCTTCACTATTTCACTACTGGTAGTCAGGCTGTATAACTTAACCGCCAAAGCCACATCAACCCCGGGCACCTCACTCAGCCCGGGAGAGTGGAGAGTCTGTTTAAGTCAGTCCTTGCACCAATTACTGGTTACATCAATCCAATCCCACCTGAAAACCGTACAAACTGGTTTCCAGGAAAGATTCCGACTCGGGTCTTACTGGTTCGCTATTTGTGAAGACTCCCTCCGCAACCCCCGCCCCCCCAACTTCAGTGACCGGCGCTGTGTTGTCCAACGTCGACTCGCAACGACAGATTTCAACGCCCACTGGGTCAACGGAAACCAGGTTCGAGCCTGTTCCTGATCGCTGTCTCGAGACTCTTGGTTGGCGCGTGGCTGCCAACTCAAGGAAACTATTCCAAAGAGAGCACCTTGGTTTGAACAGCGCAGCTTCACTCCGCTGAGCGAGATCCAAGATGGCTGCCCGTCTCTACAGCAGTGAGGTGGAGGAAAAGAAATCGCACCAAATGAGGCTCAAACAAAGTCATCAAGTCCATCTAGAACGTACGGCAGTGCTGCAAATAGGGAGAAACTGCTCCTGCTTTCATAAACGGAGCAAGAACGAGGGGCCGCTGATTTAAAGTGATCTGCAAATGAAACAAGAGAGTGAGGTGAGGAGAACATTTTTCCACTCAGCGAGGAGTAATGCACTGCCTGGAAACGTGGTGGAGGCAGGATCAACCGAGGGCACCAGATGGTTAATACAGATGAATATAGTGTGAAAGGGTTCGGGGTAAAAGCAGGAGATTGGCACTGAGTAAGGATGGTCATTCAACGAGTTGGTGCAGGCTTGAGGGGCTGAATGGCTTCCTTTGGTGCTGGAACACTATGATTCTGTAGTCGTCTTTAACCAGCCACATTCCACCACAGCGGAGATAGTACACCATCACCTTACGAACTGCACAGGCACCATACTGAAGGGACTCCCAGCGGGAACTCAGCCAACAAGAGAAAGATATCCCATCAATGAAAAACAGGGCAAATTGCACAGACTAAGCTTGTATTCCCTGCAGTATGGTTAAGGAGTGATTTAACGGAGATGCTCAATTGGAGCGAAGGAGGGTAGAAAAGATAGAGAAAAATCAACATTAAAACTAAAAATTGTTCAGGAGGGTTGTAAGGAATTATAGGGTCATGGAAACATGGAGGAATTGGCTCTCCTCCCAAAACTGGTGAGTCTGGGGAAGGAGAGCCAGTTCAAACTGGGAATGATAGATTTTTGGTAGAGGAGGGGTATCGGAGTGGTGACTGAACCACAACAAGCAAATGGAGTGAGGATATGAATGGCACAGCTAGCTTAAAAGCAGCCTCCCCCTACTTCAATAAGCCGCATGCACAAAGGCACACACATTGTGCGGAGTGCTGCACTCCTCAGTGTATTTAAGTGGGCACTTCGCTTTGTAGAACACATAGCATGAAAGCAAGACGTTGCAGTCTCTTGTTATCCGTAGAACAATCTGTTTTGAATCGTCCGAGCAGCCCGGACTGAACAGGAAGTTTAAGAAAAAAACACTTGCGTCATGGCCTCTCACAGACTTTAATCAGATCCTGCGACTCACCATCAATTTTGCCACAAAACGTCCACCCTTAATTAAATAGGTTTCTATGGTACTACACCAACTGGGAGCTAGAGATCAGACCTTGTTTTGTCTGGTACCTGGGTAATAAGTCACGTTAAAAAGGTTAGTTTTGTTGGGTCACATCCTGCACCTGCAGATGAGCTTGGATAATATTCAGGCCTTTTTAGCCACTGTCCTGAGAATGCATTGCAACCCTGACATGGAATGTCATATTGTAAACAGTAAAACTCTTATACTCGTATCGAACAGAACATGCTGTGTTGGGACATCTTGAATTTTCTTGCAAATCCTGTAACGTACAAGTCAAAAAGTTTCTGTTTACAAGTCTTCTGAATTAAGCATATTTCTGGGGAAGAAACATCTATAAGGGATCTAGTCCCTGAATGAGGAACAGTCTCTGGTTCAAATCCCGCCACAGCAGATGGTAGAATTTGAAAGCAATAAAAACCTTGAATTAAGGATCTAATGATGACTGTTGTGGATTGTTGGAAAACCCCATCTGCTTCACTAATGTTGTTTAGGGTAAGAAATGTGTGGAGATGATGGTCCAGTGGCATTAAATCGCTGAACTGTTAATCCAGAGACCCAGATAACATTCTGGGGACCCGGGTTTGAAGGGAGGCAGATGGTGGAATTTGAATTCAATAAATATCTGGAATTAAGAGTCTAACAATGACCATGAATCCATTGTCAATTGTTGCGAAATATCCATCTGGTTCACTAATGCCCTTTAGGGAAGGAAACTGCCAACCTTACCTGGTCTGACCTACACGTGACTCCAAACCCACAGCAATGTGGGTAACATTTGAGCAGTTAGGGATGGGCAATAAATGCTGGCCATGCCTATGATACCCACATCCCATGAATGAACAAGAAGAAAGTTCAATGTTTTATTATTAATCCCAATCTGAAAGGACCAGCATCCTGACCTTAATGAGACCGGAAGATGGAATAAGAAAAGACAACACTTTTTTTTTAAAAAAAGCTTAGTTGGTGGAGCTGGTCAGGGCCTAACTTCCCTGATCCCCAACACGCAAAACCACACCCCCAACAGATCTCAGAGCCGTTCTGAATGGAAGTGAACAAACGAGATCAATCTTCAATGTGGGGCACTGCCTAACTTGGCATTGCTGGTTTGATGGTAAATATCCTGGATGTGACATGGGCAAGGCCTAACAAGGAGGCAGGTCCCAGGTGACAGGAGCACACCATTATATTTCTAATCTTTATAAATATCAAAATGTCTCAACAGCAGAGAGAAGTGGTAGAATTGGAAACTGTCTTTCTTGTTAAAGAAAACCAACCCTGCTAATTATACAATGCTGGCTTTCTGTTACCACGAGTATGTCAGCTTCAAACTGAAGAGTTCTGAAGAGTCAAATTATCAAAGATGACTATGTGGACTGCAGAGAGAGATAATGGAATTAAGCCATTAGGAGATGACAATTGAAGAAATACAGGAGCTAATTTCAGGTTATGGCCCAGCCACATGCACTCACAGATAAAGTTCTGTTGCAAACGATCAACTTAAACGTACTCAATGAATGTGGAAAGGAAGAGATCGAGTTTATGCCTGTCTGAAAGGTTGTCCTAGGTCAGACTTGAATTCATGTGAATACAAAGTGAAAATTACTCTCCTCCGATGAGCTTTTCAGATGACAGTCAAGATGAAACATGGCCCATTAAGTAATTCACACTTTAACTGGTTCCAAATTATGAAACGCTTCATTATTTATACAACAGCTTTTTTTTTGCAACGAGTAGTTACTAGGCAAATGATGACAGACAGGCAGTGGAGGAACAAGGTTATGCTTGCGTCAAGTATATCTACAAAGTGACAGAAATTCTCCCCAAGGATTTCTTTCGTTGTCTGAAAAGCATCAGCTTCCTGGCTGGGATATCACTTCACAGGCAGCACATGTTCTCCAAGACCTGAGACAAGTCACCATGATTCATGCTGTCAGTGTCCGCGAGTCAACGCCTGACAGTTTGATCCTACAGGTGCTCTACAAACGCAGGATCTGAATGACATCGAACCCCGGCCCTTAAGTGCGAATGACACCCTTGCCAACCTGAGATGGGCATCTTGTATACCTCCTGAATCGCCAGAAGTAAAATATGTGGGAGACTGCACCAAATATCCACTCCCATTCCAACCCTGGGTCTCGTTGGATGTATCAAAATCACTGGGTTACCGGTCCAACAACAACTGCATTACCATAGGTGACACCACTTGTACATTCACACAGCACAGGGGGTTATTCACCCCATTGTGCCCATTCTGGCTCTTTCAAAACCATCCAAATAATCCCACAGCCCCTGCTCTACCTTCATAGTGTTGCAAATTACTCCTTTAAAAATGTATCCAACTCCTTTTTGAAATTTACCAGTGAATCTGTTTCCACCATCCTTTCAGACAACATGCTCTAGATCATAACAACTCACCTCAGAAACTAAATTCACGCCTTTTGGTCACTGACCCTCCCAATCCAATCCGTCACTACCTACTTTTCAAAACCCCGCACTGATTGTGATCATCTCAACTGAATCTCCCCTTAATCTTACAGGCAGCAAGGATAATCCCAGCTCTCTATTCTCTGAGTAGCAGAATGTCCTCATCCCTGGTCTCCACTGCTCTCATACAATAGGTTACAGTTAAGCCTCGGTTTAGATGGACGGCCTGCATTTTAATTATAGAATCCCTACAGTGCGGAAACAGGCCATTCGGCCCAACAAGTCCACACCAACCCTCTGAAGAGCATCCCACCCAGACCCATCCCTCTACCCTTTCCCTGTAACCCACATGTCCCATGGCTAACACACCTAATCTACATATCCCTGAACACTATGGGCAATTTAGCAATGGCCATTCACCTAGACTGCACATCTTTGGACTGTGGGAGGAAACCCACACAGACACGGGGAGAATGCGCAAGCTCCACACAGACAGTCACCCGAGGGTGGAATTGAACCCAGGTCCCTGGCACCGCGAGGCAGCAGTGCTAACCACCGAGCCACCGTGCTGCCCTTGCTGGAACAAAGATCAAATGTATCCTGCATTCTGGTGACAGTGTGCCTCTCAAGGTGAAAATCCAGATTTTAGCTGTTTCCAGGCTCTTCGTTCTTGAACTTTTCCATTCCACCTCTCTCTTCTTAAACCTCTTGGTCACCTATTTTGTTGGATAATCCTCCCTGCGTCACTGAGTTGAAATCCACAGACCTAGGTTAATACTCTAGGGACATGGGTTCAACTCCCAACAAGACAGATGGTGGAATTTAAATTCAATTACTAAACACTGGAATTGAACTCAGTCTCTACTCACATTTTCATGGTCACCTTATGTTGTCATAACAGGCCACCTAATGCCCTTAAGGGTAGGAAATCTGCCATTCAGGTGCACTACGGAGGCTGTATAAGACTCTGGTCAGACTGCATTTGGAATACTGTGAGCAGCTTTGCGCCCCGTATCTACGGAAAGATGTGCTGGCCCTGGAGGAGCTCCAGAGGAAGTTTACAAGAGTGTTCCCAGGGATGAAAAGCTTGTCATAAGAGGAGCGGTTGAGGATTCTGTGTCTGTACTTGATGGAGTTTAGAAGGATAAGGGGGGACCTGATTGAAACTTACAGAATACTGAGAGGCCTGGATAAAGTGGACATGGAGAAGATGTTTCCACTGGTAGGATAGACTAGGAACTGAGGGCACAGCCTCAGTGAAGGGACAAACCTTTGGAAATGAGATCAGGAGGAATTTCTTCAGCCTGTGGGTGGTGGATGTGTGGGACCCGTTGCCACAAAAGGCTGTAGAAACTAAGCCATTGAGTGTATTTAAGACAGAAATAGATAAGTTCTTGATTAGTAACGGGATCTACGGTTACTCGGAGAAGGCAGAAGAATGGAGCTGAGAAATATATCAGCCATAATCAAATGGCAGAGCAGATTTGATGGGCTGAGTGGCCTAATTCTGCTCCTATATCATATAGTCTTGTGACCCTTACGTGGTCTGGCATACACGTGACTCCAAACCATCGCAGTAACGTAATTGACTCTTAAATGCCCTCTGAAATAGCCCTCACATGCCACTCAGCTCATGGGCAATTACGGATAGATAGCAAATGCTGGCCATGTTACTGACACCCACATTCCGTGAAGGGGTATATAACTGTTCCTATGTAAAAGGGTACCAGTTAAGCATAAATGATTATTGATGATGAGAATGACTGGCTCAACTGGCCTCCCTCTGAGCCACTTTGGGAATCAGGCTAGCCCTCTCTCTCTCTCACACACAGAGAGTTTTGCTCTGTTTTGCATGTCTGTTTTGGATTAGAGAAAGTCTAGCCTTCAGAGTTGTAACACACATGCTTCACTCCTCCCACGCTCAGATTTCAGACGATCCGGAGAAAATGTAACCAAAATAAACATGAAAGAAAGGCAGCATCAAATGCCAACCCAGTTGAGCCACTAACGAACCCTTTAATCAGCGCATAGCATCCTGAATTTCAGTCATTTCTCCCTGCGGGCACATCACATGCACCAGGTGGTTTGAATCGAATGCATTTCCTGAGTAAGAAGGTGCCAACAAACAGCTGAGGGCCAATGCAGGTGACTCACACAATAACCTGTCATTGCTAACTGCACATTTTCCCACCCACGTTTCAAAACATTCCCTGCAACCTCATCCTTTAACCATAAAAATGGCAAATCAGAAATAATTCTCTTCCCCTCCACAACTTGCCAACTCTGTCCCATTGCAAGAAATGTGGCTGTAGCCTGAAAGCCTGGAACTGAATTCTATTTCAAGAGACTCATGCCATCTTGCTCTCTCTTTCAACAGAAATACACACACGCATCTACCAAGATCTGGATAAACTGTTAACCTAAAACATCATGCTTTTATTCTCAAATAAAACCAGAAATTGCTGGGATATATCAGCAGGTCTGGCAGCATCTGCAGAGAGAGATCAGAGTTAATGTTTTGGGTCCAGAGATCCTTCCTCAGGACAGACCCTTCCTCAGGACCAATTGTGAGGAAGTGTGACCAGACCCGAAACATTAACTCTGTTTGTCTTTCCACAGATGCTGCCAGGCCTTGGAGATGTTCCAGCAACTGCTGTTTTTGTTTCAGATTTCCAGCATCCGCAGTTCTTTTGGTTCTTTTTTTTATCTTTTATATTCTGTGCTCCTGGCTCTCCTGCTGTTCGTGCCGGGCAATGGGTAGCGCCCCTGCCTCTAAGTCAGAAATGCAGAGTTCACGTCCTACTCTAGGACTTAATGGCCATCGATACTGTGTTCATAGCAGGACCAAACAGTTTGAACACCAACCTGCAGGCAAGAGTGATTCCTGGCCAGCTATGGGTTGCTGTAGATGGCACTATGTAATTCTTTCAAATGCACATGTGATCTGGTTGCCATTGCCAAGGCCAACACTGGCTGACCATCTCTAATTGGCTTTAGGGGAGTGGT